AAAGAAAGTGTCGCAGTGTCTCCAGCGACATTTGACCGTCTGTAGACTCGGGGTGCTGTGATCTCCTACGAGGTGCTGCAGGAGATGCTCCGCTATGCCGAAGATAAGAGAGCAGTTCTGCCACTGAACGAGACACAAATGTTATGACACAAGTCAATCAGCAAACATGACTGACCAACATGATCATTAAATATCTACAAGAAGACTTTAGATAATATTCTTGTAAAGTAGATTAGAAGGTCAGCACTGAAAATAAATGTGCTTTTGCAAAGTGCTCAAACTGATATAAATCTTCCTGTCTGACTAAAAATATCAAGCTCTTTCTGTTTAGGTTTGATGTGCCTGTATGATGAAGCTGAGGTCTTACCCAGCAGCGGTAGTTTTTCAGTAGGTTGAGCTCTACAGCTTGAACACTGCCATCGTAACAGCCTGTGTAGATCTGTGTGGGGCAAATCATGCAAATACAATAAAATGAACATAAAAATTCAACCATGTTTGGTAAAATGAACCTTTACCAAATCAAATCAAATCAAATTTTATTTGTATAGCGCCAAATCACAACAAAAGTCATCTCAGGACACTTTACAAAGTAAGGTCTAGACCTTACTGTTATCCATATTATTACATAGGGAAAACCCAACAAATCCCCCTTGAGCAAGCACTTGGCGACAGTGGGGAGGAAAAACTCCCTTACCATGCAGGTTAAGATTCACTCAAATACAGTAAATAATTTTAGCCCACTTTACCACACTCTTATGGACAGCCATGCACATCACCATATCGCTGTGACCCCCATACACTTGCAGGCAGTCATGGGACTAGGGGGGGAAAAAAAGAAACAAACAGTCCACAATTAAAACCTATATAAAAACCGGACACACATGAAGATTCAGAAAGAGATGTAGTTTAAAATAAAATAAATTAAGAGTGATTTAAAAATGTTAAAATAAAACTAGACCTGATTAGTTGTTTCTGACACAACAAATGGAAACTATGAGAAGTCAAACTGTTACAAATGGCAAACACACAAACTGTCGATTCAGAAATCAGCCTGTGAAATGTTCAGTTTTGTTACCACATACAGTGTCACTGTAGAACAGAGTCATAAATACCTGCAGCTCATAAACTCGGACCAGTTTATCCAGACACGCCGTCACCATCACTTTCCCCGAGATGACAACTGATGTGATGGCATGACTGTGACCCTTGTAGACACGAACCAACTCACCAGTCTACAAATCACGGTGAAAGGCAATAATTATGGTGACAGCACAAGTATGAAGTTGAAACAAACAAAAACAAGCCCAGACAGACACTGTAATAAATTAACTAGAGACGCTCAGAATGCAATTTTCTTGGCCGGTACTGATTTCCGATTCTTTTAAAAGTCTGACCTCCAAATGTAAACAGGTGCAACAGGTAATATAAACAGAAAATTGTCTGCTACATCTGTCCTACTGAACATGCAGCTCTTTTTTAAAGTGTGTGTAGTTCACCCACAGTGTTTTAACGTGAGTTGGATACACTATACATACACATGCATTTCATGTGTAGCTAGTAATACCCTCAGTGTGTACTATTCAATAGAGATTTGGATATAGTTTCCTCTTCTCCAAGGTGTTTCTGTAGGCGCCGCTGTGCAATTTTTGTACACCAAGTGCTTCCTGGTATAGACACAAACGTGAGCCTAAGGTAAGGAACACATGAGATGCTATGCACTGAACAAGCTATGCTTTGGTCTGTGAATCATCATAAGTGTAAATTAGAGCGGCACAGAATTGGATATCTCAGACGGACTGACCGGTCACCAGTCATGGCTGATCATGCTGAAAACCGGCCAGTTATGACCTTCCGCCGACTGACTTTAAAATTAACATTTAAATATTTGAAGACTATAAATCCAGAACTTTCAGCTTTTTGTCATCTCAATAACTAAAGTTGTGCTGTTGTTAAAATGCAGCAAAACAAACTATCATTTATCAAATGCCTAGCAGTTCATGTGTACTCCTGGGAATCACTCGCGACGCTTACATGGATGTTGTGGGCATGAACAAGTGCGTCGCTGGAGCCACTGAACACCAGGTCATTCACCACCTGAAAACAACACAGGAGCTAATTCAGTAGATCTGACATACAAGTAATCATGTCTTTAATGACCTGGATTTTATGTACATGAAATGTAAGAAATTACCTTTTAAACTTAATGCACTATTTAAAAAGAACAATTTACAGCCTTAAGATTGTGCAGATGCCATGATTAGTTACAACTAGATAAACATTTGCAAATGTTGAAATCTGAATTTCGATCCCGACATGAATGCGGAGATTGTGCTTTTTTTTTTTTTGGAACAGCAAATATCATTTTCAATTCTGTTTGTATGTACAAAGTTATGTCCTACAAGATTACTTCACTAGACATACAGCCTGCATGAAAGTTTTATTTGATGGCTCAAATTGAGCTTCAAGTGTCTAAATTAAAGCAGTAACACATTACAACACAGTCATCCAGTCTCACTGTCTGGACAAAACTCATTTTAAGTTGAAATGAAGAACTGGCATTCTCCCCTCACCTTCATACAGACCACAGTTTTGGTGTGGCCCCCCAGTGAGCGTAGCAGCAGGCCACTCCTGGCATCTCGCACGCTGATGGTGCTGTCGTAGGAGCCAACCAGCAGCAGCCGGCAAGCACCCTCTTGTGCGGTACCCAGACAGCTCACCCCTCGTGGGCCATGGCACTCAAACACATCCAGCTGCTTCAGAGTCTGACAACGGGTATCAGGACAACACTATTCAAATGGCTGGCTTCCTCAGTGGTACTGAAAACCTGACTTACAGTACACCCCCTGCATTAAAATGACCCATTTCACTCACTTTTAAATCATGGCTAGCAACTGATCCATTGGCGAGTCCAGCATACAAAATGTTCCAGGCTATGTGCAAACACAACACCCTGTCTGGTAGAGAGACCTGCTCCAGACACTTCTTAGACTGGAGGTGAGAGGGCGACAGTAAATCACAAACAAACAAAATTCTAAGCTTATGTACTTCAAATGTGTGTACACTTTAAAAGTATGATGGTTAACAAACTATTTCAACAAGTACGTTATAAGTACTGGATGTCACACTGACACCCACCCTGGCTTACAGGACACATTTAGTAGAGCAGCATGTACAAGTGCATTTATAAAAACAATGTGCTTAACAAAACTTCTATGTGCAACATCAGCCACCAAAATGAATCACTGTCCAATAAAGATGGAATTCTTTTTTAACAGTAAGGCTATTTTGTACTTTTATGCTGTAACAGCAGACGGTCTGGTCACTGGATCCAGTGTAAAGGCGTGTTGGCACGTTCGGGAAAGATGACACCAGCAGACAGTTGATGTTGTTTGTGTGACCCTCGAACACTGCTTGGCACTCCCTGGTCTGGATATACAGAAAAAAAGATGCTGCAGACTTTGGCACTAAAAAACAAAAAGGCAAGCATTTCATCCAGCACAAATTTCACATGTTCAACTCATAGCATGGTTAACTGAAAGCCACAGATGGACCAGATATTCATACACTGATGTTTTTGTCTTGACTGCAGTGTTTATCTTTTTGCATCATCTGTGTGTGCGTGCAATATAGTATGTATATTTGTTCTGTCTGTGTCCTGTATATTCAGTATTTATGTATATGTACTGTATATGCATATTGTGCATACAGATATATGTGCATAAGTCTGGTGATAGCTGTTACATTTTTGACTGTTCATCACAACTTCTAACCATTTGAAATTGTCCTAATTGCTAAATGGCCTTATATTTACATAGTATTTTTCTGTGCACTGATGTGCACTCAAAGCGCTTTACACCATTTCCCACTCACCCATTTGCACAGACAAATGCCCACACATTCACACACTGGTGTCATCACTGGGAGTGATGGACTACAGAATCCGGGTCTCAAACAACCAACCAACCCTCCAGTTATGAGACGACTCGCTCTACCTCCTGAGCGACAGCCATCAAAAAAAGGAGAGTCCTTTTCTGTACACTGGGTTTCTTAGATCACATTTTGTAAATGTGAAAAATCATTAGCCCCACTATGTACAAACAGGTTATCTTCAAAATTCTGTCTTAATGTTTGTATTTTTAAATTGCAAAAGTCTCACACCTGAATGCAGTAAGAGCTCCTGTACACTCATTTGCTGCTGATATACAGTGTGTATTAATTAAAAAATATACACATACACACACACACACACACACACACACACACACACACACACACACACACACACACACACACACACACACACACACACACACACACACACACACACACACACACACACCAGAAGTGACTAAAGTTGGTGTTAATTTTGGACCAAGAACAACTCACAACTAGATTATAGGCTCGAGCTGTGTTGTCCCCTGAACACGTGTACAGCAGACCGTCATGTACTTGCAGGTCGTGGACGGGGCCATTGTGATTCATAAACGCTCCCAAGGATGGCTCTTCATCCTCAGCAGACTCTGAAATAACAGCAATTACAGTATTTTAACATTTTTCTAGGAGCTTTGTCTTTGCATCTTCACACTGTGTAATTCAAGCAAGAACACCCAACTCACCTGTTGTAAAACTGGCATCTTTCACTGGTAGGGCTGGAAGCTGTTCTTTTCTGAGGGGTCAAGAGAAGAAGGTTGGTCACATTTCTCACTTGCTTACCTGAAACTGCAGATTAGGTAACCCTGTAATGTTCAGGATTCTTCACTCTACGTAATCTCATTAATGGATCTAACCTGTCAATGTCATTTTGCTGAAATGTCTGTGTGCTTGTAGAACTAAACTGCACACCGACAGACTCCTGAGGTGGCTCTGGGCAAGCTGGAGCATTTGAGACGGCCTCATACGAGTCCTCATTGTTTGGTTCATCAATGTCAATGACTACGAGGTTGGATGGCATCATTTCAACGGAGGCATCGCTTTCGTTCCTGTTGTTGTCTGGTGCTGTTGAAGATGCATTTTCATCTCTTTCAGGGACAGACTTCTCTGCTACTGACTCTTGTCCTTTACTCTTTACTGACATGGCTGACAGAGAGCAGGGAACTTGATGAGGCTGGGTGATAGATGATGCCAGCACTGCGGCTGGTGGTTCCTGGTTGGAGGAGGTCAAGAAGGCACTAGAGGAAGGAAGGGATGAGAGTCCTGGTTGCACAGAAGCAAACCCCACTGATGAGGTGGTGGCTTTCTCTGCTGCATTAGATGCTCCTGTGTATCCTTCTGACAGAGATTAAGAAAGGAAAAGCTAAACTACTTGTTGCATATGAGACGATTTAAAACACGAGGTAAATCTGCTGTACCTTGCATCCCCTGCAGGATTTCAATGCGCTTGGCTCTTAGACTGTCGACCTTGGCAGTTACCTAAAACAGCAGGGGGAACAGTTTAATGCATGAGGAAGAAATGACAGGAGCAAAAGATATTGTGCAAAAAAAAAAAAAAAAAATGTTGTGATATTCTCTTCATTAGTGGTGATACCTGCTGCCTTAATAGCAGGAGTCTATGCACTTCTGTGTAAGCAGCTTGCAGGGTGTTGCGAGCCTGGACCAGAAATTTGTCCAAATCCTGCAGCGAGTGGCTCAGCTCATCCTCCATCAGAGACACTGCTAACAGCTGGTCCATCTGATCCTGGTCTACAAGTTAAAAATGAGCAGGGGATTGGGTGACATTTGGAAATATTCACAAACATTACTGAGAAGTCGACTTGACACTGGTCAACACTGCCTCAATACAGTTCGTTAACAAGACATACATTGTAGATACTGTGCACTCTGCACTGCTGTTATTGCACTTCTGGTTAGATGCTAAACTGTATTTCGTTGCCTTGTACTTGTACATGGGTAATGACAATAAAGTTGAATCTAACCTAATCTACTTTCAAAATGTAAATGTCATAAAAGAGTACTCCAGCTTAGCCCTGCACTTCTATAACACTGTTGGACACTTTTCTTTTTCAAAAGTATCTAAATGAGTGCAGTAGAACCAGAACAATATCTTAGTTATTCCACACATCTTCTTCCTTGTGGAAGCCTAAAGCCTCCACCACATACAGTACAATGCAACTCGATCATCAACGGTTCAGTCCAATATCCAGGTGTATTATTATGTAACAGCGAATGTAACTTCATGCCACAAGCTTCATGCAGAGATGAGTAGTTGGTTACAGAGGCCTGGTGAACTTCATTCCACACCCACAGATCAGTTTACTTTTCAAACTTGTAGTCTTCAGAAATTCAGAAGTTTTATTTCAGCTCACTCTGGAGCCACAAAAAGCTTTATACATCTTTTTTTTCATATATATAAAACCTGCAAAAGACTTGGATGTTTTTTGGTAAACTGGTGGAGTTCCCCTTTAAGAAATAGAGTAATGCCTGAACACTGACTCCAAATCACAAATGTATTTAGGTGGGCAGCATTTACATCTCTGTTTTGATGAATATATTTTAACACAGATCAAAACACTGTCAACGTAAAAACACCTTGGGATCGGCTATAGCATTGCAATTCTTATTAAGTACATATAACATGAGCGGTACCTTTGTTTGATTTTGTTTTCTTCTTTTTTCCACTTGGCCCAATATCGGAAATGTCATTATCCTGCAAGAATACACGATAAATAAATCTCACGAATAAAAGTATGTAGTCACACTGGATATTTTGGCTATGCCCTCTTATTACTCACTGTGTTGTGTTTCCTCTTGTTGGTGCTGCTGTTGTCTCTCAAGCTCCCATCACCCTGCAAGTCTGGCTCCTTTTTCGCAGGGGCTGCTGTGACTATGTGACTGCTCCCACCCTGCTGTGTTGTACCAGGTTGTTCCAAAGGCTCCTGCATCAAGGAATCTGACTGTGTCTCAGTGTGAGTGTCAAAATCCGATGTGTCCTGACGTGGAAGAGGTAAACTCGAGTGTGGACCTGAAGGACTGTGTGGAAACAACTCCCATTGGAAGCCTTCAGACAGAGGCACGTCACTGTCCTGTGGCTGTGCTGAGCTTTCCTGGTCAGTAGAAGAGCTCTGCTTCTTTCTCTTCATCTTCTCATACATCTCCCTCCAGCTCAACTTACTCCTGGGCTCTGAAAAGCTGAACAACGTGCTCAGGGTTGCTTTAAGTCCAGCTTCATTCTCCCCTTGAGTTGTACCTGATTTTTGAGTGACTCCAACCCTACAGCTGATGTTCAGGTTGGACTCAGAGGATGTAGTCCTGGCCATACATTGGCTGTGTTCAGCTGGACTGTCAAGGGCCCCCTGAGATTCTCTGCTGTTTGACAGTCCATCTGAAAACACCAAGCTCTTCTCGCAATGCTGAGGCATTTCTTGCATCACTTTGAAAGTTGTCTGACTTTTCTTAGCACAAGCAATGTTGGAAGGACAGCTACCAGACTGGGATGCAGGTGTAGGGACGCTAACTTGTGGAGATTGCACATATGTAGTTGCAGTGGAGGTGGGACTCACACAGGAGGTAGCTGACTGCTGCTGTTCCTCAGTTCCAGCCACTGAGACACCTGCCTTGCCGTTCTGCCTCCTGGCGTCGCGATCTGCCCTACATGGCTCCCTCACACCCAGGGCTCTTCTGATTTGTCTCAGCATCACACTGACATCAACATCCCGTATAGGAGCTGCGTTGATGGATCCGTGTGCTGAAGCAGCTTTAGGTGAACAATGTGAACCTTCTTGTTCAGGCTGAGAGGATCCTGTACTCTCATTCTGGCTGGAATCAAATAAGATGGCTCCATTCTGAGGGAGCTGATCACTGGTGAAATCTTTATCTGTCGCACTATCATACGGCCTGTTGTAATAGTCATACTGGCTGATGGTAGGCCATACTGTTTCTTCTGACATAATGGTGGCACTTCCTTGGTTGTTGTGCTGCCTTTTAGCAAGTCTGTCTTTGACACTGATGCACTGGCTGTTCACAGAAAAGTTGTCATCATACCTCTGGAGGTGAGGTGATTGGGTGAGCCGGTCGTGAGAGTGAGGTTGATGCAAACCTCTACCTGCAGGCACTCCAGAAAAACAAGCCGAACTTCCACTTTGATTCTGTACACTTGTTTCACTCTGGTGAAACGGTCTTCGCAAACCAGACATTTTGTTCTCCTTGTTTTGAACAACAGAACTGTTGCTTCCTTTCTGGTGGGTTTCCTGCAGGGTCCTCATGTTCACCTGTTTGGATACCTTCTCCTGTATTACTATAGATGCCACTGTGTTTTTTCTAGTGGTTTCCTGTAGCATTTCTGCATGCCCCCGACCAGCTATCTGCTTCAGTTTCTTTTTTTTCTTTTTCAAAGCTTTCCTCCTGCGATGGAAACCCAAAATAGCAACACATTACATAATGGAGGAAATAAAATGCAAAATATAATGTTATCATTTTGACTCAGTGACAGATAAAAAGGCAAAAATCTTACTCCTCTTTCTTCAGTTTCTTGTTTCTCTCCAGGATTTGGATGAGGGTCTCCGTGCTCAGAGTCTTATTCAGAGGGAGGGGCTTAACATTTTGAGATATCAGCTTCCGCAGCCTGGCTTGGTGTTGAGCAGTGGAGATGTGCTGGGCATATGCATTTAAACCTGAGATGAATGCTTTACATGCCTGGCATTCATGAACTGAATCTCTGTAACAATAAATAAATAACAATTGCAAACCTCATTTCATTTATCAAGAAAAGCACACAGTTCTCAAATTTAAAATGTTGTCTAAACATAAGCAGGCCTAGAAGGCCTTCGTGTAAATAAAACACAGTCAGCAAATGGCAAAAAATATTACTTAAATTAAAGCGTGGCAGTGATAAAGTGTAATTCATTGACAGCAGGAACCATTTATCTTGGAATTTGGAGATGTCATATTGAGCTCTGGCATTTTTTTCACTTCCTGATGAATTAAGCAATCTATTATAAAAAGCAATTAACAGATAAAAAAAAAAAAACTGAAAATAATTGTTAGTTGCTTTCCTATTTCCATGCAGGCTTTTGGTACCTGACAGCTTCCAGTACTGCTGTGGGTATATTTTGGTCAGCGCCAAAATGTATTAACCAGCCAATCCTAGGAAATACTGAGGAATGCAGCCTTGCTAGACATAATAACTGTGGCTTTGTATCCTCATATCATACTAAACCATTATCACATTATCAGATCAAAATGACTTAACAGTGTATATGTGTTTTTACTGCAATAAAAAAAAGTACACAACATGTGTCTATTTGACTGTTACTCACATGGCCAGCACTCTCTCCAGTTCTCGGTGATGCAACATACCATGCATATGCTCTTGAGCCTCCTGTAGTTCAGAGATATTGTCAAGAATATAGATCAATTGTAAGAAAGTGGATGTTGAAAAATCCTATATTATTCAGCACTCATTTATACAGTTGGGTAAATTTAGAGCCACTTACATGTTTCAAGTAAGAACTGCGACACAAAATACAGTAGACATTTTTGACCTTCCTGAAGGTTTTTCTTTTGTTATTGGACTCCTTCTTTAGAGTGGTTTTATCCACCTTCTTCTGTGGAATTGGGCCTTTCTCCATTTCTGAAACAAGAACAAATACTTATACACTGCATATATATGAAAATGAAGTCTTGCTCTTGAATTAAATACACAGGATAAATAAAGCCCAAGGCTAGTGTCTAAAAATCATATCCCGTCATCACAGGATATAAAGTAGACGACAGCCAATAAAGTAAAGCCTGTTGGTAGTATTTACCTTATATCCGCATTAGAGTGAAACCTGGACACAAGCTATAACTAATACAGAACTGCAATAATCGAGTCTAAGCCTATAACAACAGCACAATGTCGGTGTCAAATCACAACTAACGTTTAACCTGCGCTCACTAAAAGGTTAACACGCTTGCGTTTGACTTAGCCTTAATAGTTGCAAATTGACGTTGCCCGCACTATGCTTCCCAATACATTCGAGCAATATTATAACAACATTATAATCATTTATGATACTGAAGAAAATATTGGGATTAAAGTGCAAACAGATCACAATTCGCAAACAAATTTCACATGACAAGACCACTACCGTTAAACCGCCATGTTGCCTACGTAAATTACGTCAGATTTACGTCTCCCAAACGTTTGACGGCAAGGCGGTTTTCCTAGATCTATAAAACATGGGATGATGGCAGTTTACGCATTTTGCAACGATGTTCGATAATGAGGGTGTTTTACAGTTCTGATAAGCATCGGTGACTGCCGTTCCGTGCGGAAGCCGGGTTTTTGTTAGGGGAAAAAAAGTTGTGTACAGTGTGCTATCATTTTCTGACTCAAGTTCAAATGTGCAACGGCTGTGTGCAAAAAGAATACCCGGATCGGGTGAGTTAAGGCTAATGAGAGGCTCTGCAACTTGTTTTGACGCATAACGTATTAACTAACGTTAGTAAATCAAGTCACGTTAAAGTGAGCCCTACTTTGTGCTTCTAATGTTTTAGCATACCAATATGCTAATACACTAGGGGCTATTGTTAGCTGTGAGTAACGTTTTTTCACCTACTGTTATTTAACCTGCCAGTTCAAACGGTGATGATGCTCTGGTATTCCGCTCAAAGCACACAGTTAGGGTTGCATGTCAGAAAGAAAAATGTGTTAAATGTGATGGTGTCAAAATACGTTTCTCGTTTGATCCCCTGCTTAGGGGAACACTTGTCTGGAGAATGGCTCTTACCTCATGAACTACCTGGGCTGTGCCAACTGCCATCAGAGGGACTTCGTGCTGATCAGCAATAAAGCCGCAGAGGATGATGATGGAGAGGAGATTGTAACATATGACCGTTAGTTACTCTTCTTCTTGTGCTCTAGCTGAAGCAGACAACCAGTGAACAACAGCGGGGCTGCAGTTCATTATTGATAAAAAATAATTATTTAGTCTATAAAAAGTTGAAAAGCCCAATGTTGTTTCCCTGAGTCCAAAAAGAGGTGTCTTCAAAAAGGTCAAAAACCTGTGCATATTTCATTGAATATTATAATACAAAGAAATGCATCAGGTCCTGACGAGAAAAACTGGAACCACATGAGATGTGTAACATATATGTGTAAGATGTCAACATCCCTAACAGTCAAAATCCTGCCCACTAATCTAATTTCTATGTGTTTTTCCAGATGTTTGCAAAAATTGCAACCACGTCATTGCTAGGCATGAATATACTTTCTCCGTTGTTGATGAATATCAGGTAAGTAATGCCGATTCTTATGGGAGGAAAATTTGGAAGATTTTTAGAGTGCTGAACTTATTTTCTGATTTCAGTACAATTAGTTAGGCATAGCCATAGTCTTATTCTGTTTTGTATTGTCCAGGAGTACACCATGCTCTGCATGCTGTGTGGAAAGGCAGAGGACTCCATCAGTGTGTTACCAGATGACCCCAGACAGTCTGCTCCGCTCTTCTAGACCTCAAAACAAATCAAACCCACAGGTCATCTCTCATTTTTAGATCAAGTACTGCTGAAGGTCGCTCGCTTTGGGGCTCCAACAATTTGTATTATGCATTCAAAATTTTATGCATACTCTCAGTTAAGTTGTTGGCTCTTTATGAATTACTGTATGCTAATGGCAGTGGCACAGGAAGTAAAACTTTACCTTTCATGACAAATGCATACAACTTTCTGTATGTCAAATATGTATTGTAAATTAAACAATTTGTAATTAAGAATTGTATTGCTTCTTGACACATATCTCAAGTCAGAATGACAAAATAAGGGAATATGGGTGATAGAAGTGACAGCAATTAACACTGAGCATGTGTTAAACGGGCTATACCTCCCATACCAGTCTTTACTCAAAGCTACTTACCACTTTAAGTTAGTTTCCATTAATTTATTTTAAATTGAATGTGCTGAAGTACAGAGACCGAAGAACAACAAACGCTTAAATGCCCAAACATGATCTGCACTGTAGATGCTGCTGTGGGTGAGGGAGGAAATAGTGGGCGAATTTAGATGAAATGACCCTTTAATCACGCTATCTCCCATGTGTTTATCGAGAAATAATGGTTTTAAGCTCTGGCTTTTATTCAGTGCACTTCTTCCGACATGTTTTTAAATTGTGATAAAATAAAATGCAACAGCAATCAGACATCAACACACAACAATCAGCTTTTGTTCCACTGTGAAATAAAAATACACAGTCTGTGTTATAATGTATTTTGTTCAGGAGCAGTTCAATAAAAATACAGATGTTTTAGCTGATTGTACAAATGAATTAAAAAAACAACAGCTGCAATGACACTCGTGCATTTTCATTTCATATGAGTGCACTTACATGTACATTCTAATATGCTGATGCATGATATATTCTCTAGCAACCTAAAAGCCCACTACTACACTGATATGCTAAAATGAGTAATTCATTGTTACATACTGTCATGATCTAGCAGTGTTACAAGAGTGAGGTCAATATGGGACTGCATGCCCTGGTTCTGTACACGAATGCTGATGTTGGTCTAGTGCTTGTATTATTTACTGGTAATGTTCTTAATGTGAGTACATGGTTTCTATTAGTGAATATCCATTTTCCTAAAGATACATATCTACAGTTAGCATCAATTTTACATTGAGTATTAAACATGATCTTTTTGGTCTCATATTAGGCCTATATGCAGAGGAATGAAATGAGAGGTAAGTGTTGGCAATCTCAAGGTTTTCTCAGCCTTTTTGTTTCAACTGCAGGTATCAAGCCAAATCATCAAATATTTTAAGAGAGAGAGACATCCAACAAACAAATAAATAAATAAATACAATTTATCATACATTTTACTTTACATACAGTACATTCCCTTGAGTAAATGCTGTATTTACACATGCTATCCAGGACTGGGTGTGAGCCAACCTTTTGCTACAGCTGCACCAGATACAACAAACATTTCTGGCACATCTTCAGCCACTGTTGAGGTTGCACCACCCAGATCAGTCATTTCTGTCAAATACAGTCATCGAGTCACTTTTCCAGAGCCTTTGTCCTCTTGGATCAGAGCTCTTCCCCTGGAGCTGTAGCCCCAATGACCCTGCCCACTGGACCTGTCTTGTGGATGTGGGAGTCGAGGCGGAGGGGAGCCAGACAAGCTAGATGGAGAGTGGCTGCGCCCCTGCAGTCCCCCGCCGTCACGGAGCTCCTGACGGGAGGGAGAGGAGCTTAGTGAGCGCTGCAGGGAGGAGGAGGAGCCGCGAGGGCGAGGAGGAGGACTGAAGAGCATCCCACTGCGGTCTTGCATCAGCTGGGTCAGACTAGCCAGGAAGTCGGCATCACTAGTGCTGCTGGCACGCACTCTTAACCGTCGTCGTCTGCGTGCACACACACATGTAGACAGTATGCTTACTATGTAAGACCAGACCTAATACTTATGTTTACAGTTTTTTTTTCAGCACTAGCCATTCAAAAATATTCACAGTCTGCCATTAACTTTTTATAGTATATACAGTATGTAGTCATTTTTATAGTTAGTGGTGGAGTAAGACATTCCTCTCTGCTAGATTAACTGACTTCCTGTGCACAGGAGATCCAAAGGAAACAATGCATGTGTATAATCAGTCACTGTAATTTTAATTTCGCTGATATCAGCCTCACTGTTTACTGTTCACTCTCTTAGAGTGAACATATTAGAGGCATATTAATTTATCACCAAGGCAAATCAAACACTTCCTACTGCTGCTACTTTAACATAAACAGCATCCAACTGGCTGTTATTGTGAAGCTGTCACAGGAAATGCATTGTATCTGTCACAGCTTAGTCTGTTCAATTGTCCATTAAAAAATGTGTCTGTAAAATAAGATGGGTGACTTTTTAAAAAAGCTTTTTTCATCAGATTTTTTTGTTTTTTGTGAGGGAGTAATAAGAAAAAAGGAGGATCCACAGTGAGCTGTTAGATGAAGAGTTTCAGGTGACAGGCTGCACACCTCCAACTTCTCAGCTAGATAACCAGATCCTATTATAGTTAAATGTTTGCTGTGGTATTAAAGTGCACTTAGCGTTGCCACCAGTAAGATAGAAATTTTAAGGACTGTTATATCTATTATCTCATTAAAAACTGCCTGAAATGTCTTAATAACTGTATAACTCACTGACTGTGCATAGCTCATACCTGTTGTCCACACACGGCCGGATGGGTGGTTTCCCAGGAGGTGGTCGAGGCAGAAACCTGCTTGTGAGTTGTTCAGGTACAAAGGTGGTGCTGACCGGTCGTGGGATCTTACTTTTACTACCAGATGAGGAGGATAGGGAGAGGGGGTCTTCTCCTACACAGTCAGATCTGGAGCCTCGTTCTGAGAAGAGTCTGTCTCTTGGCAGAACACAGGGAAGGTTGTCACAGGACAGAGATGGAGAGGGTGAATGGGTGGGTGAGCTGGGAACCGGACTGCTCCAGCGATGGCGTCTTTCCATGTTGAGGTCCCTGCTCGGAGAGTCCCGGGGGGAGCTGGGGTCTCGTATGGGGATTCGGCTCAATCTTGGTGACAAGGGAGAGTCTCTTCTCCCGAGTAGAGCTGGAGGTGGAGAGGAGGAGACGGTGACAGTGCTCTCCATAGCACCTCCTGCAGTGTCAGCTTGGGGCTGCTGATTTGGCTCTGACGAGCGATCAGGCAGACCAGAATCACTCTCGGGGTCTCGATCATTGCTTAGATGAACTGTGGGGCCTTTGGCTGGGCTTGGCAATGGTGCTAACTCCAACCTCCCTCCATCCTTTAAGATTTCCTCTGCAAGTTCATCAGTTTTACCAGATGGGGCCTCTAGTGGTATTGCATCACTCTCCTCCTGTACAGGGCACTGTGGCGCATCACTAGAGGTCTTAGAAGAGTTTAATAATTAATACTGTGTATGAATAGCTTGCAAATTCTGAAAAAGTCCATTAAATATTATGATAAACTACACAAACTATTATTAATTATTTAAAGCTTTGTCAGACTTCTCAGAACGTGTGCATTCTAATGCTATACAGAAGCACTAAGTAAAGATAAGTGGCAAGTGAGCAAATGTCTGCTGATGTATGGAGGATTGTGTGATCATCGTTAGAAGCTCCAGAAGAGGAAAAAAGTTGACTGAGTTTGTTTTGTCAAACAAAACATGGGTTTTCACAGTGCTGTATGTACAAAAAATGCTTAGTCACCCCTACCTGGTCAATCTGGGGTCTTCCAATAAGGACTGAGGGCATCTGTCCCAGCATTCCTGGCAGCCTCCTGTGGGCTAGTAACCATGTGCCGGGCATGGCCATCTGTGATAGGATGGGGCTGCTCGGCACTGCAGCAGACTGGCCATCCTGTGGCTCAGAGGAGTGGTTGTCAGTTTCAGCAGGCCTGCGAGTACCTGATTTGTCCTCGTGCCAGGCTTCTGTTGGAGGCTTGCTTCCTCCAGAACCGCTGCCTTGTTCCAGGTCCAGCATCACCCACTCCTGAGAGTCTCCTTCCTGGGCCACAGGACTGAGATTTATTACAGCCACAAAGCCACTGCTCGCTGCACCCTCTGGGCCAGGGGTTGCTGTTCCAGAGTGCTCCTCTTTGCAAGAAGGCGTGTGCTGCCTGTGTCCCCTCTCAGGAATGGAATTCTCTCCAACATGAGAAAGGACAGGACGCTGTTTGCCTAGGCTGAAACAAGACATTTTAAACATTAAGGCGAGTTTGTCTCAAAATTTTGTTTTCAATTTTGCTTTTTTGATGTGTACTAACTAGGCTTCAAGGAAGCGTTCGATGGTGGGTTTGGGTTCAGGTGCAAGCCTCTTTTCAAACGCCAAGCTCTGACTGTGTCTGATTCTCCGTAGCAGCGGTGCAGCACGTTCTAAGAACATGGTTTCCGATCGCACCCGTCTTGGGGAACTCTGGATGGAACCGGTGTTGGGACTCTGGTTCCCCTGGTTCTGACTGTGCTCATCCTCACTCATCACCTGAATAAAATTAATAACAAGAAGACAAACACTGAATTGTATCCTCGGGAAGTTGTAGCAAGACATATTTCTTTAAATAGGAAAGTCTGCAGTCCCTTTAGTTAACTATCAGGAAGACAGGGTGGGTGACGACTGGTGAAATCCTAGCTGGATTATAATCAAGGCCAAGAGAACTAGATGCACACAAGCAGTAGAGGTTAGCACGGTCTTAGCCATTCTCATATCTAGGCAAATTGAATGCAATTCTGTATTTTGATTTATGCAAATACTCCAGTATGATGTATTCATGGATCCATTTCACTGCACAGAAACAGAATAACATTACAGCAGTGGGTAAGTGTTGGCAGTAAACTATGTTGCCCTGACCTTTCTGACCACTGGCTGAGCGTGTTTATGGTTTCGGTTGTGGTCGATCTCTTCCCATACATCTGCACCAGGAGTGGTTGGAGTGGGCATGGGGGGACAGTTGTCAGCATCACTGAGGCGCTCCCCTTGCAGGACATCCTCTGTGTTCTCCCGCTGCAGGTCGCCAGGCAGCACTGAAGCATTGGCCATGCTGTGGAGGAGAGGGAAAGTCACCGTGCAGTTCATTCACACAGCGCAATTTAGAGCAGTCATTTCTCAGGGATATCTGACTGTGCAGTTTTCTAGTCCAAAAAAAAAAACTATAGCTACATATCTGAACACATGTCCAGAGTGTGACAGAAGTTTGCACAGCACAAGTGAAAACAATAAGGCTATGGCAAATCAAAAATAAAAGGGCTATATATAATTAGTGGCAAAGCTTGCATTAGATGTAAGTACCCCAAGTATGCTGGTGTGAGGCGAGTGAGCTGCTGAGCAGTGGTTGCTGCGGCAGTGTTGGTCAGCATATCCTCTGAATCACACTTCTCCCAGTCATAGGGGTCATTCTCCAGCACCTTGCGACTCTTCATGGCACTGTCAAACACTGACATCAGAAGCTGGGACAGGGAGACCACAGGCATCAGCATCTGGCAACTGACAACTGAAGAGGAATAACCAGTGTGTACAAAATATGCCAAACAAGAGCTGTCCCACCTCATAGTCAGGTTTAGTGTAATAGTCCAAGGTCAAGATATGATCCAGGAAAGTACTAAACTCTGAGGGAAGGTGCTTCAGCATAAGTCGATGATCAGAAGTCTCTTTTAGATTTCCTACTTGTTCCTGAGAGCAGAGAGAGAAAAAGAATAAAAATCTGAATGCATACACATACACTGTATATATAAAATCTTCAGAGTGCTGCAGAAGTTATGGAGATACATACTTTGTCTTTAATTTTCCTCCAGGGTAGCTGACCCACCATGAATTCAACCAGCATGTAGAAGAGGGACCACAGGTCGTCATGACGACCCATTTCCTATGGATTGAGATACATGAAGGTGAGGAAGCAAGCCAATTCAAAGTGAATGAAAATGAGACAATCAGATTACATCCATACTCACCTTATTCTTATGTGCATTGATTGAAGCATATCGCACAGTTCCTCTAAAGCCAGCCACGGGACGAGGCTGAAAGATATGTCAGAATGAAAGAAGTGACTGAACGACAAATAACACGTCAAAGGCCACTGGGTTTACTACTTCTGTCTCTGTATGTCTCTGTATTTTACTAATAGACCAAAATTATACATATGTCATACATTTTGTCTCAGCATGCTACAGTTTTTTTTAACTGTTAGCAAACTTTAAAACAGCTTCTCAGAATATAAGTAACTCATAACTTGTCTTTAATTAAAGAAGCTAGAACAATGCTTTAAGGACGTTGGTAGAGAGTACTTACCGGACGGACTTCCTGATTTGAGTTGGTAAACTGACGAGCCAAACCAAAATCAAGCATATAGCAGCATCTGCAGGTACTGGCTAGTCTTCCCATTGCAAAGTTAGACTACAATATTAACAGCAGAAATAAATAGAAACACGTTCAAGTGTCAGTTGTAAAATGTGCTTTATAAATTTGTTTGTGATGAGTAGTTACAAATGAAGAAGACATCTAGAGATCAGCTTACAGGTTTAATGTCACGGTGCAGGAAGCCTACAGAGTGGATGCTTTCAATAGCCTCTAAAATCTGCTTGCCAAGTCTCAAAGTTGTGGAGGCAGAGAAGGTGCCACGGGTCATGGTTCTGCGCAAATCTGCCAGATTCCTTCCCTTTAGACAAGAAATCAATGCTGCATGTCACATTCATGATGCAGCGGGATATGCTGTGAGTGGTAAGTTTAATAGCTGACTAGCACTGACTGGTAAAGCTCTTACCTGGAGTTCCATCACCACGTAATTGAAGCGATCATTTTGGCCACATCCCACAAAGCGACACACATGGTCTTTGCCTGTCAAAGAATGGAAATATATACTTAGGTAGAGTGTCCTTGCTGTTAATAACAGACAAAATCTCTAGTCTGTATACTGTATGTTTATTCTTCTCAGCATTTATACTGATTTGTGGGCTATTTCAAACACAAATACTAGGTATAAACATGTATATGCAAATGTTATATCCTGGTTGCATAGTATGCATTAACACTGGTTATGTAAAATATTAAAATCATTGCTGGAATATTTCAGCATTAGTAGACCACTGCTGCTTACATCATTAAAAATGTATTCACTTTTATGGAAATAAAACATTACACCCTAATGGAGACAGAGCAGAGAAGCTATTTTGCACAGTGAATGGCACATGTTTAATTCAGGGTATCTGCAGTGCTCATCAAATTACAATTTTAGGACTTATTTAATACCATGTATGCAATTTTAATATCCTTTTCTTGGTCAGATGGTGCCAAGAATGACAGAAAACCAGTACAGACAATACAATATAAAAACAAAAAAAAATGCATTTATGTATTTTTGTCATGCTGATACTGTAGAGAACAAGCCTTCTGCAGAAACAGCCCGCAATCAAATTCAAAAACGTATGTTAACTAACTTTACTTCCTTTGTAAATAAATTTTGAAACTTTTAATACTTACAAAACCTATTCGCTAAAACCTAATTCCTATTTGCAAGGCCATCATTTACAAACAGATAACACGTATCATGATCTCTTGGGTGTTACCACCCTGGCTGTACAAATTCTTTTTGAAAATCATAACACACTGTAATTATGTGAATTTTCAGACTGACAGAGTGACTAACACTCACCCTGAAGCTTCTTCAGCACAGCCACCTCCATCTTCAGCACCTGTTTGGGTTGCTGAGCAGACTCAACCTTCAAGGCCACAGTGGCCTGGCTCAACTTATCCAAAACCTCATAGATCTCCCCAAATCCACCTCCACCTATCTTTCTCACCTGAATAGAGGGAGTTACTCATTGTGAACAAAAAAAGCATAGATGTGAAGAAATGCACGCTCTTGAAGGGTTTTAATGAAATGATATGATGTTGTGATTTCTCTTCCTTCAGTGACACTTACCACTTTCCATCTGTCTCTGACCACGTCTGCCACTGACAGGATGTCTGTGTGCTCTCCAGCTGCACTCATCCTGAGTGCTCTCAGCTACAGTGTGCACCTGGCATCAGTGACGCAAGCCCCGCGCTGAAATCAGATTTTAACATTCAGATCAATTTTCCCTTTCAGGGCCACTGTACGCTATTGCACCTGGAGTTGAAGAAAACAGGAACCATTACTTGTTACTGACTGCATGTTGTTGTGCCTGACAACAACATGAAACAAAGATTAGCTAACGTTACGCCTCACGTCTCCAATACTAACACGCCTCCTCAGATAGCAGTTAGCATTGTCGGGTTTAATTCACCGATTACGAAACTACTGTGCCTAGCGCAGCGCCAGTCACTGGTCGTAGCTAGTGATTAAAAAGCCGTTTGAGAGGATTAGCCGTTAAAGGCTAATCTCGCTACTGGCGGTATCCATGCGGCAGCTGCAGTGGTCTAGTAAACAAGCTAACTAGCATGTTTAATAATGATGACCGTTAAGGAGCAAATTCTCTCTGACCTCGTACCTCGCTTCGTTGCACCACTGCGATCCCAGTTAGCGTGTAAAATCCATACATTCCCCATGCTCACACTCTGTTCTTAGTTAGCAAGGTCATTCCAAGCGGTTCTTTAATTTAGAAATGTGGCCACGGAGGTGGATCATAGTTGGCCTTAGCTAGAGTTAGCCAGCTAGCCTGCTAATCGATGGTGAACGATGCCCCGTGCCCCTGCTCACAGTGGCGATTGTGACGTCACATCTGGCCAGAGTCTTCTCACTTATCCGCAAACTCCCCGCATCCCCGATACTTACTGACAGGAGCAGTAGGCTACTCTGCACATATTACGATGCACAGAGTGGTCTCAATAGCGCAGTGGACCAGGGAAGTAGCACTGCATCATAAGTATTCCTGGGTCACTTATTCATACTGATCAATCGTGATCTTTATTATCGAATATTAAAGCAGGAAGGAACATCAGGGCAGTAGAGGCGTAGCTGGGATTTCTGGTTCCCCTGACAAAACATTGACAACCCCCCCCACATCCCCTTTCACCACCACTACCCAAGCACACACAAAACATAACATTTGGTTGCTTTCTTTTTTTTTAACAAGAATTTTTTTTTACACATTTAAATATTGAACTTTGACCTTGAAATAGAAGCTTGACAAAAAATCATTAACTCCAGATAAATGTTATGAGGGCACACAGACACCATGCTCACATCATGTTTAAACTGTGGCATAACTACAGGCCAATATAAACATTCATGTCAGTATAATTGTTGCTTTTTCTCTTCTTCTCAAACTGCGGACATTAAGTGTATATAGTAAAACCTGCTCTCAAAAACAAACAAACAAGCAAAAACAAAACTGAAAAAAAAAATGGAGTGGCACATTTATTTCAATAGTGCACTGATGCAGTGCGGGTTGTGGAGGGAGGAAGGCTTGTCTCAACTTTTGTTGCACTCTGTTTTATTTTCCTATATATGTAGCTATATAATGACTATAACACTCAATTATCAATATAATATTTGCTATTTATTTATTTACTTATCTGGGAGCATGGGGGACCCAAAGCACAGATTGTATTTTCTGATTTAAAATTACACATAAGGGGGTTTTAAAAATGTGAACACCAATATTTTTTAGACTCGGGTTTATGGAAAATTTGAATGAATAAGACGAGGAAAATACCCAGACGTATAGATGATTTAATCTATTTTTCAGTGTCTCTTCAAATTATAAGAGGGTGAAGGGGCTGATTGTTACAGCCCTGTTTTGACCCATTGCAAACCGCTTCCGTGTGACGAGCGAGACCCCGCTTTGCGGCGCAGCCACAACAGCAAAACCATCGTACACGGATACACGATGGGAGTGGCCAGAGAATCGGATTGGATAACAGGATGTCCGTTGAGCTGTTTTGGGGTGAGGCGATGCATTTGGTAGTACACAACTTTCTGGGTGTTTGCGCAGTTTCACAGTGCTTCACATAATCTGGATAGGCCTAAGTAGCAATTTTAGACCCATATGCTCGAGCAAAGAATTTTGGAATCAGCGGAAATACCAGCGCAGGCCGCTGCTCGGCAGAGTTTTCGCGCATTCACCGTGTCATATGTGGCTTACTCGTTGATGCGGGGAGAAAGTTGTGGACATGTTCTCCTGGAAGTGCACGGTTTTACAGATTTAGCGTGCAACATTGTAACTACAGTGTTAGTGAGCCTTTTCAGCCTGTCCGGACTTTAGAGTATTTTTCCGTGGGACTGTAGAGTCGACTGTTCGCCATATTGTGCGCAGTGAAACTCGAGAGAAAGTTGCCAGAGTTATGACATTTGCTGCGCACAATCCCTTCATGGAGCTGCATGCAGTCGACTTTGATCGAAACCAAAGTGACTCCATGGAGCTGGCCATGGAGAGCTCTTCGCACCACTGATAAGGTATATACACTGTGTTTAGTTAGTGCTCAGTAATCTGCCGTATTGCCTGAACAGCGCTCAGATCTTCAGACGCTTCCTTATTGCTGATTTTTGACATAACATCACTGGCTATCGCTCGGGTGATTGCACGAGCCCATTCGTTTCCTGTATTTCTTGTTATGCCAAATGGCAGCTACACTGTAAGCGTCTCCTTGTTGCTGTTGGCTGCCGATTCTCAACTTCATCTTATAACGTCCTCTGCACGCACTTGGACGTAAATATGAAAATGTAGGATATTCTCTGCAAGTGCTTACTCATTCAGGCGTGCTTCCTTACTTATTTTCACTTTACTGACTGGGCTATTTAGTGGTGTAGGCCTCAGTTTCCTCTTTGCGTCAGGCTAGTGAAAGACGACTGAACGCATTATGTGAGTCTCTTTATAGAAAAAGAAAACGTCTAACTCCTGCTTTCTCTCACAAGGTCTGGCACCCTAAAGCTGATGAGAAGAATGGACACCAAACCTCAAATTTGATTCTGGAAGATGGTTACATGCTCCCCGCCTAGCACTTTCCTTTGGGATTTATATTTCCTCCAAAAGACCTCTGTAAATAATTAAACATTTTTTTCAACCACAGGCAATAGAAACGCACTACAGAGGCAACGACTCAGTTTTGCACACTCAGATCACAATTGAAAACACCAACATTTTCAGATCTTGCAATATTATTATGAGTCTTCCTCCCCAAGTTAGTGCTGACAAGAGTGGCAAGCATCGGGCTGCAGCCATGAAAGAGCCTGTGCAGCATTCAGGGGAGGTTTATTATGGTATGGGACCTCCAGCTTTAGAGTCAAGCCACAGCAACTCGGCTAGCAGCTCTGCTGTTTATAACCCAGAGAAAGGACCCCAAGGTCTCTCGCACTATCAACAGGCTGCTCCAGTGAAGTGGATGCCCCAGGACTCCATACAGGCCCCTGGGTGGTCTCAGGAAACTCCAGTGCCAGCCTGGGGGCAAAACCTGACGTTCGCTCCACCCTACATGGGGGGAGTGAACGTCAGGAGTCAGATGGTGTTCCATAAAGGAGTCCATGAAGATGTAGCTCTCCCGATGGGGGGAGAAAATCAAATGCCAGGACCTGTGGAGGTTTACAGAGATGGCACCCAGGCTCAGCCTCAGGGAAGGGGGCTTGAGTGGGAGCAGCATGCTGCGGCTGCAATGCACCAAGCTCAGCTGCAAGCCTATCAGCATGGCCACAAAGGTGTAGAGCTCCAGGGTCAGCCCCATGTGCCGCCTCACACTTTGCAGGGGTCTGTGCTGCAACCTTTCCAGACAACATTTAGACCCAGCAAGCAACAGTTCACATCTGGTTTTTATTCTGCTTTTCCGGGGAACAAGGCAGTGCCAAATCTGGCATATGGTGAGCAGGCTAAAACTCAACAACAGCTGCTGCACCAGATGCAGCAGCAGCAGCAGCAGCAGCAACAACAATTGCATCATCACCAACAACAGCAACAACAGTTGCATCAACAGCATCACCTTCAATTGCAGCAACAGCAGCACCAAATTCAACCCCATCAAATTCAACAGCATCAAATCCAACAACTGCACCAAATGCAGCAACAGTATCACCGGCAACAGCTACAGGAGCGACAGCAACAAATCCAACAAATGCAACAGCAACAGCAGCAGCAGCAGCAGCAAATGCAGCAGCAAAATGTGCCACAGCAAGAAACGGCACAACCACAGGTGCAACCAAAACAGCAACAGACCCAAAACCTTCCAGTTTATCAGCCTCCTGAGCCTTGTCCACCTGAAACTGTGCCTAAAAAGGAAGGTGTCCAATCAGTAGAGCCACAACAGGTTCAAACCTGTGATGCATCATCCCTACCTGATCCATGTCCTGAAAAGGTCACCACAAATCCTGCAGAAACCTCAGATGCACAGCCAGCAGCCCCTCGGCGGTCACGGCGCCTGTCCAGAGATGGACAGTCCCCACTGGGTCCCCCTTCGACAAACATTTGGTCTCATGCCTCCAAAGATCCTCCACCATCCCAGAATGGAGTAGCAGGTGCCCAGAAGGGAGGGGAAAGCCAGGTGACAACAGGTGGGGTCATCCAGATCAGCCGTAGGAAACGGAGGGCATCTAAGGAGATCAACTTGGAGACTCTGGCTCAGAAGGCATCAGAAATGGAGTCCCTGCCTGCCAAAGCTGTCAAGGTTAAAAAAAAAAACAAACAATCATTATACTATTACACAGATGCTGCAGTGGCACTGACTAACTTTCCTCTTTATTTATGACATCAAATGAAATAGTTGTCTTGGGATCAATTTGAAGAAGAATGGCAAGGGTGGCTAATTTGCACAAATGAGAGCAAATTTTCTTATCTGGCAAAATTGGCAAGCAGCTGTACAAAGAGGAAGAACCCTGTTTCTACGCAGAACTTCCCTTTGGTTTACAAAATCCTTTATTTGGTCTGTTTATGTGACTCTGCAGCTGTCGTGTCTTAGCTATAGTAGGCTCCTAGTATGCACACTGATACTATCAAGTTTGTCATGCATGAGATAGTGAAAACCTGTTATTGAACATTCCTCTTATGGATTTGAAAGATTTCTCTGATTTAAGAAACATGATATCCTTGGTGTTGTTATTGAGGATTTATAATGTTTACAATCCGTGGCACACCCACTGGAACCGGCGTCTTTAATTTTTCTGTAGCAGCTTTGTTAAACACAAAAACTAGCTAAAAGGAGTCTTTCCTCAGTTGAGGGGATGTTCAGTGCCTTACCCTCAAGGGTTACCAGGCTTGTCGTACTTTATTTGTGCACGCTGGATGTACGGTTGGAGCAGCTGCATGTCTGCACACCTCCACATTCCTCAGGCTCTTTCTCAGTCATTCAGCAGAGCTAGGGAGGGGCTGAGCTGTCAAACTGCACAGCTACACTAACACACACCAAACAAGCTTGCTGTTGCTATTCATAACCCAGACCTGTTACACTGTGGTCAGCAAGCTGCACTTTTCTGGGTTCAAAGATAAGATTCACCTCGTTCTTAACTTCCCATGAAGTATAAATCATCTTAAAATTGATGTATACATTTCAATGACACTAGTAGAATTTGAGATTACTCAACATTTTATCAGCTTGACCAGAAACACCAGGGGGACCTGCACACCTCTGAATATTTAGAAAATATGTGGTAATGAAACAATATGGTTTAATGCTTGTCTTATATGTGGCAAAGCCGGTGCAGCAGATTTCAGGTTTGTTGACTTTTTACAGTTAGAATCATTCAGCTTTTAGCACAAATGCAATTTTAAAGTAAAGTAGCCAACTTAACTGAAAATACCAGTGTTGTGTTGGTTCAAGGATCTTATATGTGGGAATTCACTGCTTTTCTCATTTTTATGAAACTGTAAATTGTCAATTTACAGTTTCATAAAAGTAACAAGGCATTTCAATATGTCACCTTTAGGTCTGAGAAATTGTGATGGCTAATTTCTAAAACTTTTTACTGATTAAACACTTAATTGGAAAAAAAAATCTAATTGATCTATAAAAGAAAATCTTCAGTTGTAGTCCTGTTGTCAGTACACATGAATTTCATTGCAGAAGATGATGAGTGTTGTAGTTGACTTTAAAATGAGCCTTTAAATGTAGCTGGCCATGTGCACCCAGGCCATCTTCCTCTTTTTTTTTTAAATGTCTCAATCCCTTTCCCATTTTCCCTTCTGCTTCTACAATTTGTCTGTTACCTTGTTTTTTTTGTCTCTCCTCACATTTGTGCCGCAACAGGAAGACGGTCCCTCAGGCAGGCAGGCTGCCATGGTGCCCCTGGTTATCCCGGTGTCTGTACCAGTGCACAGGAGCCAAGGTGATACACAGGGTGGTTGGGCTCAGGGGCGAAGTGAGAGGCCTGCAGGACACTCTGACCGTAAACCTTCTGTCATTGTGGCTCGTCGGCGATCGCTCAGAAACCCCATAACTGACAGTTATGGTCAGGTTAGTTCTGGAGAAAGATTTGCATTGCTGTGGTTGTCATGCAGTATTTATTTATTATTGGTATCCTTTCAGTCAGTGTTGGGAGTTTCATTATTGTGAGTATGTAGGGTGACCAGCTGCCAAGTTGTTTACCAGAAGCTTCCAAAGAATCCCTGTGATTTCCAGACTTCACATGCTACATTGAAGCAGTTGCAAAAAGTAATGTTTGTAAATGTTTTATTCAGACCACATTATGTAACTACCTCAAGACCCCTTTTAAATGCACATAGGGTGTGTGGTGAATTGTAGGCGATGGCAGTATAATCCCACCTAGTAACACAAGCAGCTTCAAAGTTCAAGTTCTCATGAGTACAGACTGCACTCGCAGTAGTCTGAATTTAGAGATTTTACCCCAGGAAACATCCACAGAAGAGTCATAGATAATAATGTAACCCACCAACGCTCCATAATTCTGAATTACATGAACAGCTGTTACAAAATGAGGATGAAGATTCATAACAATGTCCGATTCAGCAAGCGCACTTGTGTCATAGTTTTAAAAACCACAAATTTGTACTAGCAACAGTCAAGGAATAGGTGCTTTAATCCAACTGAGTGCAGGCAAGGTCCATGTTGATGCTGCAGTAAAGTTAATACTCCTGGAAAGCAACAGAAGAACAGCTGGTATATCTGTTTACAGTTCAGCCAAACAAGCTTGTTTTAGTTGAGAAAGCACGCTGCATGCACACAGCGCATGAAAAATACAGTGAGCCTTCTGCAACTGCTTCACAATAAAAGTCACCCCATGTTTTGGCAGCGAAACTCCTTTAATGTGAGGTGGTTTGGTTTGCTTTAGCAGTAACTTAAAGTAGCTCTACAGTGTAAAGACGTAGTAAATGTTATCAGTGAGATAAAATTATAAACTGTAATGCTCAATTAAATACACATATTGTTTCCCATGAATCCCTTGTGTATGTTAAGGTGATAGAGATTCTGTGTGGGAATGGTGGACTCTGCCACGAGCATGAAAAAGAGCTATGTAAGAAGTAAATACACTGAATGGGTATTGCTAAAAAAAAAAAATGCAGATCATAAGTAGTACTAACTACAGGGTTTGATTTCATAAAGGTTTTAGGGATTGCAACTTAAATGGACTCATCCATAAAATAATTACGTCTTTGCATGACTCCTATTAGCCTCACATTAATTATGGGGAAGTAAATTTCATCAAATGCTCAAACAAGTACATCATGCTCAGTTGGAGGTCTGCATACTGCATAACTGGGTAGTTTGATTATATTAATATATACATGGATGTATGTACTGTACCTAAAAATGTAACTTTTGCATTTGAGATGAAAGAAAAACCCTAAAATGCACCTCAACCCTTCGTCTGTCCAGGATGGAGAAAACGATCCAGGGCTGGACGAGGACAGCAAATCCAAACTGAAGCGCCGACCTCGCCCAGAGCCTCTCATCATTCCTCCTCCCAAACCTTCCACCTTTATTCTGCCGTCAGTTTACTCAAGCATCACTTCCTACCAGAGCAACCTGCGTTCTCCAGTTCGCCTTCCGGACAACCCCCTCACCCTGCCGCCCTACACGCCCCCGCCCATCCTGTCTCCAGTGCGTGAGGGCTCAGGTCTCTACTTCTCCACTTTCCTGACAAACATAGCTGTAAGCAACCAAATCCTGCCACCGCCGGCTACACCTAAGTCTGCAGTGCGCAGCCTGTTGCACTCCAGTAAGTCTTGGCTGCAGCTCTTGACCTTCTGTAGCTGTAGTTATGGATTAATTCTTCCAATGACTGTCTCAGACAACACATAAGATCTCTTTCATTTGTATTTTTCAGCAAGTTCAGAAGTCACACCTCCTGTCCTGCCCTTGATCACTGATGCCACACCTGTTAGCCTTGAACCGTAAGTATCACTTAAAACTGGCTTCTGAGGTTTTTGATATTCAGAACTGTACTTCCATTTCCATAACTCAACACTTTGTGTCTGTGTTTTATACTTTTTTTTTATTATACAGTCGTATCAACATTGGTAACCAGTACCAGGCAGAAATTCCCGAGTGGCAAGATCAACTTTCCTCCCAGTTTGACCAGCATAAGGCTGAGTTGGTTTGGCTCCCTGTGGATAACTCTCACCTTAAACATGGTGACCAGGAGAGCAGTTAGTATCTGACATTACTTATCATCCACTGACTGTTATGTTATTTGTTAATATGGGCTTTTTGTCACCATCTCCTCCTCACTTAATCATTTGAACCTCCCTCCCTTTCTCTTCTTAGTGGAGGATTTGATGAACATGGCTTGTTCCAGTGTACTCAGAGGTGGAGGAACCAACCAGGAGCTGGTTTTACACTGTTTACATGAATGTGGAGGGGATTTCCTTGTGAGTATAGTGACTCATAAGCTTGGCCAGTTTGGTTCATAGACAGCTTTTGGCGTGACAGCAACTCCACTTCTAATGTTGTTAGAAATATTACAATTTGATGCATGCAAATGAAGAGTGAACATTACTTAAGATGGACTTGCTCACTGTGATGTTGATTTTTAAGGAAACACTGGGACGTTTGATGCTTCAGGACCCAGTTTTCCCTAAAGGACATCACCTTGCAGGTTATCACTACTCAGGTGAGTACTGACAGTGCACAAAAATAATAGTTCTTTAATGTAAATCACTTCTGTCAACTCACACATTGTTCCTGATTTCCTTTTTGTCTTTCTTGATCTATTGCGTTCTAAACGTTTCCTCATTCTTGTAAGACCACATCAAATTTTACCGCGTATGATCAGCGCATGTGAGTGGAGTGCAAGCAGGCGGATTTTCGACAGAGCACAAAGCGGCTACTTTAAAAAGGAGGGAGCATCACCCCAAGTCTTCCTCCAGTACCGCTCACACCAGCATGCCCAAGCCTGACCCAGAATGCATCTGTCTTGCACAGTCGTCCAACACTTTTCAGTCAAAAATTGGCTGCCGCGAGTTCAATAAATGGAGTTCGTAAAGTACTTTAAAAAGGAAACTGAAAGGTCATACAAGTGTAATGTATATTTTTATATATTTAGGTTCACTGATTCATTGAATTTTACATATGACCTTTTGTTATATTTCTTGTTACATAGGCTTAGCTGTAATTTGAAATAAATCATCTCATTGCTCTTTAGTTCTTTGGGATGTAAAGCTACGGTTTAAGCTAAAAGTGAAATAACATATTCTTTTCCCCTTTTTTTTGGAGTGAGTGGGTGCGATGTGAATCGAGTGGGATGCAATCTGAGTTGAGCAATGAGCGGAACAGCCTGGTGCGGCTTTGGGTGGAGGAATGGAGGAGGTGAATAGCTCAGGGGCAGAAATTCTCCCCGCTCCACTTCGCTCATGTGTCTGTATATGATGTCCTTGCAGGCTCCGACAGCTGGACTGCAGAAGAGAAGCGCTACTTCAACAAGGGGATCACTGCCTACAGGAAGGACTTTTTTCATGTGCAGAAAGTGGTATGTTTGGTACTTTTATCCTGCAAAATAAACAACAATCGATATAATTAGATCTAAAAATATGTTGGAATTGGACTAAATGTGTTCTGTGTAGCATCAGTAAATCACCTAATATAATCACCTTAAACAAACAAGACCATCAAAATAATAACTCTCAGCCGTTACTGGACTTTTCATATGGAATGGACAATTATGTTTGATTGCAAACAGGAAGAATCTTCTTTTGACACAAACAGATAACACTTAAAAAAGTTTGACTAAACAAACCACATCCTCTTTGTGACAGGAAGTAACTAAATTTATGAAAATTTTATAGAAAGTGTAACAACCGTCATTACACACAGGTTGTCGGTGTTCTCCTTTATATACTGTATTGTAATCCTAATACTAATATAAATATGCATGTATGTGTTTTTGGTCTGATTTAAAGGTGCGGACCAAGACTGTGGCGCAGTGTGTAGAGTTCTACTACACGTACAAGAAACAGGTGAAGATCGGTCGCAGTGGGATTTTAACCTTTGGCCCCCTATATTCACCAGCGGAGAAGCACACAGAGGCCGTGGTGGATGTTAAGGTAGAGTTGGGTTAACTTGGCTCAAATGTATCGCACTGACTTGTGGTCAAATATTACTCTGTTCAGGTTATCGAATATATGTGTTAAACACTATTTTGCTAGGCTGATCATTTTGTTTCATCTGTGAAATCTTTTAGTCCAGAGGAAGAGAATATTTTTTAAAGCAATGAAATCAGTATTTTTAAAGGGGGTTTTTGTGGTATGATTCATAACAGACTTCACACCAATCAAAAGTGACTCAGGGGGAGGTGGACGGGGAGGACAAGAAGGATGTTTCTCATGACCGGATCCATATGGACAGCCAGCAGGCGCGAGTGGCTCAGTCACTACAGGCTCATGATTATGTAAGTTGTTCAAGACATATTAGAGCTGCACCTAATGTTTTTTTTTTTTTCTTTATTATAGATCAGTTCTTTTCTCAGATAATCACTTAGACATTTGTTCAATAAAATGTCAGAAAACTGAACGAGTTTGTCCATATAACAGTCCAAAGCACAAAGACATTGAGTTTACTGTCAGAACCAACCAGAAGACATTGACATTTGAAGCAGAGAATTTTTACATACTTTTTTGAACATTTCCCAAAACAGTTTATTGATCATCAAAGCAGGTGCTGATGTATTTTCCTAATATAATTGACTAATCAGTGCAGTTCTTCTGTTTTTGTACCTGCAAGACATTTGATTACCCGATAGTACATACACACACACACACACACCTTTAAAACCAGTGAGACCGCATTTTCTCTTAATGATCGAAGTTGAACAGAGCATAAATCTCAGACACCCAGTGATTCTGATTAACTGACACATTAATATGGATGTGTGTCAGGAAGGCTGGTTGAACCTTACATTTACAGATGTATGAAGTGAAAAAAATGTAATTAACATCTACTTATTTTTGTGTGCTCCAGGCAGGAACAGTGCTGGTGATCAAAGAGCCAGATCATGTGCATAAGGAGGCTCATTACCCGACTGCACCTCATAGGCCACGGGCTGAGCCTGGAGCAAAAAAGAGCAAAGCACCGGCGAAGCCCCCGCAGGATCCCGACGCAGAGTTTCCATGCAAGAAATGTGGCAGGTACAGGCAAATCACCACAGAGATTGACTTTGTTTTCACTTTTGATGTCTCTATTTTTGCTGTCATCACAAAATTTGTCTAAAAATACACTAAATGCGCCCTTTCAGACCACATAGGTAAAGTTGGTATCAAACATTTTATTCACAGTGCTTGATGCATTAGTGAATTGGTTGCACACCTGATGCATGCTGGGACAGGCCCCAGCCGCCTCATGATCCAGTGCAGACCTGAAAGCTTTAACTAGTTCAAGGCACCAGTCATTATATACTACATGGGGTTTGACAAACATGCCTCAAAATTCATGTACTTCTTAGTTCAGTAGACACAGTAGTTTCTTGTAGTGTTGCCTTGTTCCAAACAGCTGCTGTTGTGTGTGTTGTTACATAATTTTGTTCCCGTGTTCTAGGGTGTTTTATAAAGTGAAGAGTCGAAGCGCCCACATGAAGAGTCATGCTGAGCAGGAGAAAAAGGCTGCAGCGCTGCGCCAGAAAGAGGAGGAGGAGCAGGCAGCAGCTGAAGCTCGAGCCAGAAAGGCAGCGGCAGCGGCAGCTCATCAGGGAGGAAATGGGAAGGCAGTGACGGAGCAGGGAGAGGTTAGCAGCCAGGAGGACTCATCTGAAGGAGATGATGACGATGACGATGACGACTGGCACTGAGAGGGATGAAACAAGGAGGGAAAATCAGCGAGGGGATGGATTGATGGGTAAATAGATCAAATCAGAGAGAAGGGATGAAAAAGATGTCTTGCTCCACGAGGGCAGAATAAGCACATTTAACATTTTTCAAGTCTTCCTGGAAATCTCCACACTCTTCCTGGCTGGTGTTTGACCATTATTCAGCTTTACACCGTTCAGCCAGGCAGTCACACTCCACATTTTCACAATTGTAACTTTTAAATATTCAGAGGAAGTTTGTTTTTTTGTTGTTTTTGTAAATGCACTTATACTGTAAGCTTCTGCTTTTGCCAATATTGCCTTTTTATATCCTTTATTTAATTGAATTTGTCAAAATAGTATACATTTTCATTGAGTGGACTTAACAGATATTTGATATTTCATATCTAGCAATAAAACATCAAGATCAGAGCCACCTATCTCTTTATAGTTACAGCCATTTTAAATAATGATAGAGCTTGTATTTAAAAGCTTTTTCTTAGGAAAATACTGTGCTGAAATGTGCAGGTTTTCATCAGATTTTTAGGTTGATTGTATACTTTTACAATTAAGGGACATTTGAAATTAATATGTACAAAAAAATATATATGAGATTGCCATATATTTATGATACTGCATTTTTGCAATTATTTTGGTAATATGAAAACTAATCAGCTTCAACGAGACTTGTAAATTGAAAAGTATATTAAAAATCTCTGTTCTGAAAAGCTTTTATTTTGTCTGTCACATGTCCAGTGTGCTGTATGTTTGCAGGATGTTGTTGAACCAGCAGGTGGAGGCAGAGTTGCAGTATATTGTTGGGTATTTTCCTCACACACCTGGTTTGTGTGCAGATAAATAAAACAGATTTTTGAAATATGGCTTTAGATAAGCATGGCTGAAATTCTTTGTGGATAATGTTAACATCCATTTATCATGTCTTTAAATCATAAAATCTTAACTCTTGAAAAGAAAAACTGCCTGCTAACATTTACTGTGCATCTACTAAGCAAAAAAGCAACTGTTTGTAGGTTTGATTCAGTTTGCTACACAGGTTCTACTAACCATCATTAAGTACTGTAAAGCCAACTCATCTTAAGAAACGTGGGCATGGTGAAATTTAGTATTGATCTGTGATGACACAATTCAGGCCTTTAATGAACATGCTCAGTGTAACGCGTTGGCCTCAGGAGATGGAATGTCAGACGTATCCCCATGAGAGCACAGAGGACAAAGTCGTCTATAGTGGCAGGTTCTCGACAGGCATCATTTACGTTCACGAACATAAACATTGCCCTCTGTTATCAGCTGATGCACACTTAATGGAATTAAACGCATCTATCAGTATTTTAGCTGAAGTCGGCAGTGTTATCTTTTCTTGGTTATACAAATAACCCTCCACTACAGTCCATTTATCACCAGTGGAGCGGGCATGTGATGCTGCAGAAATACAAAGTGTTTTGCTTCTCACACTGGCATGTTTTGGAAGGTCGGCTTCAGTTTTTCATTTTAATGGAACATATAGATCTTGTCCTCGAGCTACACTGTAAAGTGTTGTCTCTGCATTTGAAGGAAGAGGCTCCTTTCTCTGTTATCAAATACAAGATGAGGAAATTTGCAGGCTACTGGGTCCACCAAGCCCTCCCTGAGGGGCAGCACCAAAATCCAGCAGCTTAAAAAAATAGATCAATATTTTAGGAAGCCCTTTATGAATAGATTAAAATCAAGGACCGTGATGTCGCCCGGCATGGCGCAGCCGGGGCCCCACCCTGGAGCCAGGTCCGGGGTTGGGGCTCGAATGCGAGCGCCTGGTGGCCGGGCCTCCCCTCACGGGGCCCGGCCGGGCTTAGCCCAAAAGAGCGA